CTGCTCTGGCTCAACCTGAACCAGGGCCGGGCGGACAAGATGCTGGGCTCGGCAGTTGTGGGCTGGGCCGTCGGCAAGTTCATCTGCGCGAGGAACGGGCTCGCCAAGGAGTACTGCCAGCTCAATATCGTGCCTATGCTCCTCATGATCCTCGCGAACGTCATGGGCGGCGGCCCCATGACAGCCAACCTGCTACCCGCATGCTTCACTGCGGCATATGTCTATGTCGGCTTCATCGAGGACTGAGCACGGCGAAGGAGCAGCAAGCCTGATCCGGGGAGCGACAGGGCATTGGCCCCCGTGCGCACGGCCCATGTCCATGTGCGGCCCAGGCCTGCCAAGGTCGCCAGCGCCCAGCGGGGAGGTGCATACCTCGCGTGAGAGAGAGAGAGAGAGAGATTTTAGAAAACCAACACAAGAAATCACGACTCTCACAGTGATTTGGGCTCGGCAGCTTGTCAGCCCTCAGCCGAAGCTGGGGCCGGTCCCGTAGCCGAGAGAGCCCGCGCGCCGATGAGTTCGACGCGGTCGCGGGGGGCCTTGCGGAGAGGCCAGCGAGGTGGCGATCGCTGTACTTCATGGTGCCCTCGGTGGGGCGGCTGACAAGCCAGAGGTACAGAGGTCGATACTTGCACCCCTGACACAGTTATTGTTATGGTCTTATGGCTCTCGGGGCATAGCAGCCCATAACCATGTTACGCGCGTTACCGTACGCCATGGATCCCAGGCGGCTCTCCCCATACCACCCATAACACCCATAACATGTTATTATGGGCTGCTATGAGAGAGCCGTCCCGGATCCACGGTGTTATGGCCCGAGAGGCCACACCGAACTGCTCGCCGCTGGAAATTTCGCTTCGCGCGCGCTGCCGCGCGCGAGTTCGGCATCGATCGCCACATATTTTCTCTTTTGCCCTCAAGTTAAGGTCCTTCGGGCCAGTTGGGGGGGCAAACCCTGCCCGGCCCCTAGGACCCCAGGTAAGGCCCAGGTGTGGCCTAGGTAGGGCATCAGAAGGGACCAAGAGGAGTCCAGTCTGAGCCATAGAGCCCATGTCTTTGCCCCCGAAGGTCGCGTTCAAATGCCCGGAACGGACGTTACAGTGGTGTCCGGCCGGCGCGATCACCGAGCTGTGACGCTCAGGGAAGCCCGATGAGGTGCTGGTTTCTTTGCCCAGGGCTGGCCTTCCCCCCAGGCTGGATCAGCTGAGCAAGGTTTGGGGAGAATCCTATAGTAGGATCTTCAGATATTTTGACGGATGACCAAAATCACCCCGTTTTGCCCACTTTCG